ACTTACTTCCTCTCCTCCATGTTTCCAGTACATTTAAAGCGACTTTAAATGCAGTTTCCTGCATTTTTAATCCCGTTTGAATTTTAATCGTAATAGAGATTGATGCAAATCCTGAAGAACAAAAATAATTTAGCTAGTCATAATTCACTATCATCAAACATAAAAAAGCCCTGAATAAATGTATTTTAAGCAATTATAGTGCCTAAATAAGTGTGTATAGATACAACATATCCTTCTTGTTAGTGAGGGCTATGTTTAGTTGTAAATCAACATATTTTAACAATTGCTGGCTAATGAGAATCATCCTTCAGATAAGTGAAGTACAAATAAGACAAAATAAACATTTAAAATCACTTTGATTTAAATCAGTCTGCCCAGATTTTTCCTATTATACCTTGAATATTCCCTTAAATTTTGGAACTGGTAGATTGCAGTGTTCAAAAACTTTCGTGTTAGAGGGAAACAGAAATTCCATAGGTCTTGGTTTGCTCGGCCAAACTTATTGGTTCTGAAAATCTTATTCACAAGTTGAATAAATATATAATCACAGAGTATTCTCAAATTAATACAGGTTAGTCAATTTTCAGATCTGATGTTAAAGTGTAGCAATTTTAATATAAAATGATAAATATTAGGCACCAAAGTAGACCCATACTAAAGTTTCAAAAGAATCAAATATTCACTGTCCGATGCAGTATAGGCAATGTTATTTTTCTTCAGAATTCCAATAATGGGCAAATTAATCTGTTTTTTCTTTTCAAGTCTCATACAGAAATGAAAGCTCATTTGCAAGACTGATTTTTTTTTAAATGAGTGAAACACCAAAAAACTCTCAAAATCCTCTTTCATTTTTTTTTCTTATAGTATTTCTTTGTGACAATCATTCTGGCTAACAACATTGGCCACCTCCAGTCTGTAAGAGTTTCAGATACTTATTTCAATGTACTAGAGCCCCTTTTGAGCCTAATTCAAAGACCACAGAAGTGAATAGAAAGACTCCTACCAAATTTAGATCATTTAGAGCCCTATGTAGGCTGTTAACATGTAACCTGTATTTAACATTAACAATTACTTTAGGAATTTAAGATTCTAAAAAAAATAGTACAGAACACTTAGTGACATGATCTGTAACTAGGTCCCTACCGTATTCACAGGTCCATTTTGGTCAATTTCATAGTCCTAGGATTTTAAAACTTGTACATTTCATGGTTTTACTTATTTAAATCTGATACAGAACCAGCAGCACAGGGTGATAGCTAGCTCCCTGGGAACGGGGCCTGGAGCTGGTGTGTAACCATTTAGATTTGAATGGTTACACTGTGACATCCCTAATGAAGGAGGGGATATGGGGTAAGAGGGAGCAGGACTGTGGCAGGTGCTTGGTGTGAGAGGGTATGGAGTGCTGGTTCTAGAAGGAGTAGTCAGGGCTTGAGGTCCCGTAGAGGGGTCATGGTGTAGGAGGTGGTATGGATTCTGGCTGTGAGGGGGATCAGGCCTGGGGCAGGTGCTTGGAGTATGAGGGTTCAAGGTGTAGGAAGGGAAATGGATACTGATTCTGTGAAGGGGATCATGGCTGGGGTAGGGATATTGGGCTTCAGGAGGGAGCACAGGATTGGGGCACGAGGAGTATGGGGTACTAGCTACAGGAGGAGGTGGTGGTTGGTGTGCCATTAATTAGCCCATTTATCTACATTTAATATCCCTACTAGGATATGCATGTATCAAAGAAGGAAAAGGGTAGAATGGGGTCTTTATTTTCTAAGCTGACAACTGCAGCCTCCAAATGAGTTCCTTCTCCTCACACTGCAAATAATCAGCAATTGCTTTTGGGGACAAATGATTTCATTGAGAGCTTACACTGCAAATAATCAGCCATTGCTTTTGGGGACAAATGATTTCATTGAGAGCTTTTTAAAAAAGCATTAATGGATCAAATTCCATATCTGTTAAATCCTACTCGGCATCATGAACCATTGTCAACTGGAGTCAATGTAATAAAGACACAGGCATTTGCTGAATAAGCACCAGTTATGGACACAAGTTTCATAGTGTTTGTCCTTATTTTTGATTCTGTAACTGATAATTTTAGCCTTACTCTATAAGGGACCTTGAGAAACGTGAGCCTAATAATTGACCTATTTTTGTTACTCCCTGTAACACACATTTTAAAAACAGGCCCTTGTAATATAATATGGTGAGGATAATAGCAAAATATCAAACTGCTAGAGTGATTTGTAGACAAGTATACTTTGGTTTGCTTACATGTTGAGGTGGCTTTATTTTCTTTGCATAAAAGATTGTCTGAAGAGGGCAACAAGAAGTGTGTTAAGTTAAGGCTTGTTTCCACTATTCTGGGGATCGACGCTGCAGCAATCGATCCACCAGATGCCGATTTACTGGGCCTGCTTAGATGTGATAAATTGATCTGAGTAGGGATGTTAAAATGTCTGTATTCAGGTAAACATGTATGTAGCTGCTGAAAATTTTAGCGGCTACACAATTACATGTGGGGTGGGAGGCAGCTTGCATTTCACCCCATCCCTTGCTGATACAAAGGCAGCAGCATGGCAGGAGAAGGAGCTCTGTGTAACCATAAAGATGACTTACTGCATACAATACATGACTTCATTTCTGTAGCCAAAGTTGTATAGATTAGATCAATGGCAGGATTAGTGTAGACAAAGCTTTATGGTAAGAAGTCTCCGAACAAGACTGCTAATTTTAATGGTAAGGTCTTTCAAGTGTAATCCTTGTCAGTTAAACAACTACAGTTTTTTTAGTCAGAACTTCTGCCATACTGGAAACACTGAGTTGTAATCTGCATTTTTTTTAATGTTCTGTTTGAATACTAGTAAGTTTCTGAAACTTCTCAAAGGAACAGAACTTCACTAAGTCTCACTTTGGTAATCTACAAACCTGCTATTTATCAGAAGTTAAACTAGGGATGTTAAGAAGTGGGTATTTCACTAGTTGTGAAGTCGATAGAATTTTTATCAACTACATGATTAGTCAATAAGGGAAGGGCAACTCAGCTCCTTCTACATTTAAACTGCAGAGCTGCAGCGGGGGTTGTTCCCAGACCCTGCGAGAGCTGGGACTGAGCCGAGTTTGCTCAGTCCTGGCTGGTGCTAGGTCCAGCAGGCCCAGCTGGGACTCCCCATGGACAGGGGCTGCTGTCAGAGCAGCAGCCTTCTCTGCCCTTCCTCCCCCTGGTAGCAGCATGGGGGGGAGGTGGCACCAGAGATGATGCTCAACATCTATGAAAATTACACATCGTAAATTGTAGTTTTCTAAAATCACTAGAAACAATGTTCATTCTGTATCAGACCAGGGAGACGCGGAGCAGCGTTTCTTGCCCCGGAGGAGGTGGGCGGCAGGACCGCGGCGCGTCTGGGTGGTCCCGCCACCCGCGTCCTCCGCGGCATTGCTCTGTGTCGGACCCGGGCGGCAGCACCGCGGCTAGTGCGCGCCCCCTTTCCCCCCCCCGCCCCAGCAGACCAGGCTTTTCTCGCGGACGCCTGTGGTAGAGCAGCTGGGGTGCTGCCAGTTGGTCCCTCAGCGCCGCTCCTCGGCGCTACTGGACCAACCCGGCAGCACCCCAGCTGCTCTGCCCTAGGTGTCCAAGTCAGCCGCGGCTGAAACTGACCAGCGGCTGACTACAGGAAGCCCTGGGCAGAGTTGCTCTGCCCCGGGCTTCCTGGAATCAGCCGCTGATCAGTTTCAGCAGCAGCTGGCTTGGGGACAACTGGGGTAGAGCATCTGTGGTGCTGCCGGGTGCTGAGAAACTCTGTCTCGGGCTTCCTGTAGTCATCCGCTGGTCAGTTTCAGCAGCGGCTGAATCTGGACGCCAGTTCTGACTTAAGTACAAACCTACAGTCCCTATCTTGTACGTAACCCGGGGACTGCCTGTACAATTAACCCACAAGCCTATGCTTATCCGTTAATCTTGTCGATTTCATGCATTTCCTCCTGCTGTCTCTGTATCAGAGGCAGCGGGGAGGAGGGGAAGGATGGTGGTGGTGAGCAGGAGCTGGCTTAAAAGCGGCCAGGGGCTGCTGCTGGACCAGCCTCTGTCTGGTGGGCTCAGGCTCGCTGCAGACAGGCTGGTTCATGGCAGCCTCTCCTGCCATTCCGGCAGCCCCCCACAGCAGCCTCTGTTCATGGGGAGCTCAGATCCCTGTGGACAGGGGCTGCTGCCTCTGTATTAGCCTGGCACCCTGGGAATGGAGCTAGAATATACTGGCTGCCGGCCCCACCCCTGGGGTCTATAGAATAATCATGTAACTGTTAAGATTTCATGCAGTTACATGACTGTTCAGTTACCTAATAGCTAACATCCCTATTCTGGACTATACAGTATTTGCTTTTATTTTTTGTCATGCTTCCTGATTGCATATATTCTCTTCAAAATGAAGTGTGTGATTGACTGGTCAGTTCACAGCTCTGGTGTTCGTAACTCTTAAGGTAACTGCTCTTCCCCTCCCCCTTTCAGTTGTACAATAAAATAGCAGTCTCATGGAAATATGAAAACTAACAGTGGAACTGACAATACTGAGTTTGTATTCAGGAGGATATACTCTTGAAAATTTCATAATTTGCAATTCATCAAGTAAAACCAATTTTGTTGGTCATGCAGGAATGGGAAAATTTCTTTTCTTTTTCTTTTTTAAACAGATTGTAAAAATCAAACTGTTAGACTTATTTGAGTTCTGAATTGAGATACCATGCCTATGAACTTTTCTGATGTAACTCAAAGTTTATACTTCTGTTAATATGAATGAAAGTTGAACAGTTGTATGTTGTACTTTGGCTGATTCTTCTAAGAAATTGATCAGTGGCAGCTTATTTTAGACATGCTAAGTATGCATTAAACTCAGAGTAGGTTGTGACTGAAGTTTAACCCAGGGATTAGAATGGGAGTGGCATACAAAGTACTACTATTTTGGTTGCTCAAGTCCAGTGTAATACCTTAATTGAAACTCTCTTCATTTTGTTTACAGGGGTAGTTGTTGCATAGTGTCGTCCATCCCATTTTTCAGTGTGAGGAGGACAAGGTCTGAGCCAACATGGAGACAGAATCTCCTCTTCATTAGACGGAAAAAGTAAGATTTTTTTTTTTTTAAAAAAAAATGTGGTGTGGAAATTGGGATTGGAGAACTAACAGTACATACCTTTGTCTGCCAAAAAAAAAAAAATTTGGTGTGGAAATTGGGATTGGAGAACTAACAGTACATACCTTTGTCTGCCAACATATGTAGTTCCTGCACCAGCATTGTTCGGATTTTTCTAATAGCAGCTTCTGACCTAGACAATACTAAACACATTCAGATAAGCATAAACACCTTTATCATATTCTTAAATCAAACTCATCACACTGTTTAGTGCATGCCACCTTCACAAATCTATCTCTGTGGCTGGTGCAATGGAGTAAGGCAAACCCACAATATTCTTGCTTTACATAATATATTTAAATATTGAAACAGGGATCTTTGTGCAGTTTAAATGCTACCTTTTCTATATTGTTATACTGATTTCATTGTCTTTTAGCTATTTTCAATCCTTTCATGTCGATTTCAATCAGGTGTATGTGCGCCACGTGCACGAGCATCAGAAAAACTTTTCCTTTAGCAGCTCATGTAGGGTTGGCTGTGGAGACCTCTAGAGTGGCGCTGCTGTATCAGCGCATATATACCATTGCTGACCCTAATCTCCCTCAGTTCCTTCTTACCATCTGTGGCAACGCTGGGATTATCTAGCACTTGCCTTAGCAAGTGTCTAGTCCCTAGGATAGCTCTTTGAGTCTCATTTTCGTCCGTGTAAGCAGAGTCAACAGATAGAGGGCAAGTACCAAGAACTCTAGCTCCTTAGGGCACTGGGGCATGGCCAATGCCCCAGATTTAAATTGTGGTCAATCTGTAAGTGCCCTGTGCTCAACAGCGACCTGTATGACGCGTGCTTCTGCTGTCTGGGTAAAGAACACCGCACTGAGAAGTGCGAGATCTGTAGAAGTTTTGAGCCCTGCACCAGAAAGGACCTGGAGTACAGACTCCAGCAGCTCCTTATGGAAGCGGCACTAAAACCCCCTCAGACTGAGAAATCGGCCCTGGGAGCCAGTTCAGTGCAGAAGTAGAGATGGCAAAAGACTCTTGGCGCTGGGGTTCCCTAGCGCTGATGATTGCAGGGCCGAGACACAGGTCCACCTGTCCTACCCCATCCTCCCTCCTACCTCATGGTGCCGATCTCCACCACCCATAAGTCCCAGCGGAGAGAGGACCAGTCCCGGAGGAATTCCCCCACCTGAGAGAACCAAGGCATACTGTCAGCTCTGGCCCTGAGACCAGTGTCGTTGAGTCCGGCACATGACCCATCACTGAGTCAGGAGCCCAGTGCAGGTCTTGAACTCCTCCCTCGACGCTGGACACCTTTTGAAGCAACCAGGGACCTGATAGAAAATTCAGAGGTGGAAGAGTTCATGGTGCAAGAAAAACCACTGACATCACCCAGACTGCACCATTTGAGGGTGGAAGCTGGCAATGCTGTGTTGACCACAGTCCGCAATATGGTACTGGGACAGGTAACCTTCCTCATAAGGACCACCTTCATCAGTGCAGCATCCCCTACCTTGGCACCGATGGAGAGCTCAGGGCTGAGTGCTGGGCCAGCACTGAACAATCAACGGTTCGCACCGAGATCGGTCTCCAGGTCAAGATCGAGATTCAGGAACACCAGATGCTGCTCCTGTTCAAGACCCTCTCAGTACTGTTTGAGATTGCCAAAAGGGTCTCAGCATGAAAGCTGGCATAGACATTATCGGCACTGCTGTGGTAGTTTGAGTCTGAGTCGGAATCAGATGTGGTGTTGGTCCCTCCTTGATTCAGCTGCTCTGACTGTGGCAAAACGTGGGAAAATCGTGTTATAGTGGCCTTTCTGGACACTCTGGGCATAACATCAGTCTCAGGGAGCACCCAGGTCGACAGTGTTGACAAGCCACAGATCCTGCTCCCCTTGGGATACATGCCATTTGAGGGCACCATTGGTGATGGAATCCCACGCACCAAGAGGGGATGCCCACCTTCCGAGTCCTGGGACTGGCCATCCAGGCAGGGGCATCAGGTGGAGCCAGATGAGGGACCCCGATGCAGCCAATGAAGCCTACTCATGCTTATTCGTCCTTGTCTCCAGGTGGTGGGCACTTCCATGTCTGGTCCCCTGCTAGTGGACCATAAGGCATACCAGGAACTACTGTGCAGGTTTGCTCATGAATCTCCCTTTAGAAGAGATACAGGGACCTGAGGAGCCCATAGTGGACATCCTCTCACAGAGGGACCCTCCAGGATGGCTCTGCCAATCATAAAGACCATACAGTCGAACTAATGAACCTATGGCAGACCCCATCCTCCATTCCCCCAATGGCAAAGGGTGTTGAGAGGAGATACTTTGTTCCCTCCAAAGGGTATGAGTTCTTATACTCTCACCATCATCCCTCATCAATTGACTGCTGAGATCACAATGAGAGGGAGAGGCAAGGCTAACAGGCCCCGTCCCCCAAAGCCGAGGAGGCCTGGAAGACTGACCTGCTTGGTAGGAAGGTCTACTCTTCAGGGGGCCTACAATTAGAGGATCAGCAGGCGATCCTTAGCTGCTACGCATTTGAATCTTGGGAAGTACTCACTAAATACAAAGTTACTGCTCCATGATGCCTGCCAGGAATTTGGAGGTCTGTCAGAGGAAGCCAGAACATCCCTACTAGCAGCCCTGGACTCAGTGGATTAGGCAGCAAGAATGCTTCAACTGGAGTGGCTATGCAGTGATCCATATGGCTTCAGGCCTTGGGGCTTCTCCCAGAGGTCCAGTCAGAATTACAGAATCTCCCCTTTGAGTGGAACAGGCTGACTCCCAAGCTGCGCTGCCTCAGGATACATCTACACTGCATTCCTCTTTTGAGAGGAATGCAGATGAACAAAATTGCAAATGAAGTACAGATTTCCCATGCTTCATTTGCATAATCGCATCCGGCCACTTTTTCAAAATACCCTATTTCGAAAAAAAGAAATTTCGAAAAAGCAGCCAGATGCAATTATGCGATTGAAACGCGGAAAATTCAAATCCGCACTTCATTTGCAATTTTGTTCGTCTGCATTTGCTTTCCTCTCTCGAAAGAGGAATTCCCTGAGTTCCCTAGAGATGCATACCCTGGCATCCAAAGGTGCCTGTTTCAGCCTCAGCAGCAGAGATTTAAACAGCGCCATGAGCAGCAGCACAGGCGCAAGAGGAACAATAATAGGAGAAACCCAACAAAATAACTAGGAGTACAACTCCTTCAAGCCTTCCCCAGGCCCCAAACAGGCCTTTTTGAAGGTGCGCCCGAGGGTAGAGCACCAGACCTACTGGATCCATTCCCTCTGTGTTCAGGCAGGCTATCCCACTTCTATGCGTGGGCCAGTATTACATCAGACTGTTGGTTTCTCCGCACGGTTGGAGTGGGATACTCCCTGCTGTTTGCATCCCCACCACTTCCCCATCCCTCTTCAGAGACCCCTCTTACAAGCATATCCTGCAACAGGAGGCCGAGTCGTTCCTCGAGGCAGGTGCGATACAAGAGGTCCCTCGAATTCAGGGACAAGGCTTTTTATTCCTGCTATTTCCTCATACCAAAAGCAAAAGGCACGGTCTCAGACCAGTCTTGGGTCTAAAGAACCTCAACTACTACATATGGAAGCTAAAGTGCAGGATGGTCACTCTGGCCACCATAATCTCTTGTTTCGATCTGGGATACTCGTTTGCTGCCCTTGACATGATGGATGCATATTTACACGTTTTGATCACAGCCATTACCTCGGATTCACAATAGTGGGTGGGTGCTGCCAATTTGTGGTGCTATCATTTGGCCTTTCTTCTGCCTCGTGATTGTTAACCAAATGTATGGAAGTGGCAGTAGCCTTCCTATGCAGGAGAGGGGTCCATGTTTTCCCATACTTGGATATTTGGTTGCTAAAAGAGCCCTCCAGAGACCAGCTCCTCACTTGTGGAGACCTTGTGTTAGAGCTGTCCAGAACTCTGGGCATCCTTCTCCACAAGGAGAAGTCAGTCTTGAGTCTGGTGCAGAGAATAGAATTTATAGGGGCAACACTAGACTCAACCCAAGGGAAAGCATTGTTGCCAGAGTCACGGTCCCAGACCATTCGGGATTTGATAGATACCCTCACCCAGTACCTGCTCACAACAGCAAGGATGAGCCTCAGACTCCTAGGCCACATGGCATCATGTTGTCACATGATTGGATATACACATCTACATCTAAGATCCCCTTCAATGCTGGCTCACCACTGTCTGGACATGGTAGTGTCCATGCCCCATGAGGTGATAGTCTCTTAGGTTTAATGTGTCCATCCACCACCCAAGAGACTATCAGAAGAGGTACAATTTGTCCCCTTGAGTTCCTCTTTAACATTGGTGACCCACCCCAGATCCAAGGCCTACCTAGGTGACATGAGGACCCGAGGACTATGATCACCTATAGACATGAGTCTTCACATCAATGTGAAAGAACTAAGAGCGGTCAGACTGGCTTGCCAGGTGGTCCGACCCCAGATGCAGGACCAGTGTGTGTTGGTTTGTACGGCCAATATGACCATGATTTATGTAAACAAGCAGGGGGGGCGCACAATATTCCCGGCTCTGCAGTGAGGCACAGAGACTGTGGTGGGGGGGGCGCACAGTCATCCCAGCTCTGCAGTGAGGCACAGAGACTGTGGTGTTATTGCATAAAGCACGAAATCTACTTGGAAGCCCAATATCTACCATGACTACAGAATACACTGGTGGGCGCCCCCAACAGGAAATTTAAGGGCCCTGATTTGATAAGACCATTCTTCCACTGGTGGGGGCTCCCCGTTTAGATCTGTTTGCTACACCAGAGAACAAAAGGTGTCTGGACTTTTGCTCAGTCCAGAATCACTATCAGGGTTCCATTGGAGATGCATCCCCTTTCCACTGGGGGGGGAGGGGGGCGGAAACGCCCCTTCTGCATGCGTTTCTCCCAATTCTCCTGGTACATTTTGACCTATGCCAACATTGGTTCTCCACCCTGCTAATCTTGTTGGTGGAAGCCCCGATAGCTCTTCCCCTGTATCCGGACCTGCTGATGCAGCACTGGGGTTATTTCAGAGACTTGGATCTGCATTCACTCCATCCAACAGCACGGAAACTGGATGGTTCAATTTGCTAGAGCTTTAGTGCTCAACCCAGGTACAAGAAGTTCTCTTGGGCAGCAGAAAGCCCTCTACCAGGGTGGCATACTTGGCCTAATTAGAAAAGGTTCTCCAGCTGGTGTGCGGAGCGGGATATTTCCCCTGGGCAGGTGCCTATTCCAGTGGTGCTTGATTACCTGTTGCACTTACGGTCACGGGGCCTAGTACCCTCTTTGGTCAAAGTTCACTTGGTGGTGGTATCCACCTTTCACCCACATTACTTCGAGAGTTCTCTGTTGGGCCACCCCATGGTGACATATTTTAAGAATGGGTTAGAAAGGTTATATTCGTGCTGTTTTCTGCCTGTACCTGCTTGGGACATGAGCCTGGTGGTCAAACTCATGGGACCAGCCTTTGAACCAATAGGTGGTCAATAAACTCATGGGACCAGCCTTTGAACCAATGGCAGAATGTTCCTTGCTTCATGTCTCTTTGAAGGAAGCCTTCCTGGTTGCTATCATTTCAGCAAGGAGAGTGTCTGAGTTGAGGGACCCTATCCTCATAACTACTGCATACAGTCTTCCACACAGATAAGTGCTGCTCAGGCTGCATCTGTCTTTACCACCAAAAGTGGTCTCCCAATTCCATCTGATGCAAGAGATTTTCCTTCCAGTTTTCTATCCTAAGCCATGTGCTTGTGCTAGGCAGAGAGTGCTGCACACACTGGATGTGAGAAGGGCATTAGCCTTCTACGTACATCACACTACGCCATTTTGAAAGTCCACATAGCTGTTCTTGGCATTGGTGGAATGCATGAAAGGCGATTCGGTCTCTGCGCAGTGTATATCTTCCTGGGTAGTGTGGTGCATATACACTGGTTACAACATATCAAGGGTCACTCCCGCGTTGGTCATAGATCACTCAACTAGAACACAAACCTTGTCAATGGCTTTAGCGACACAGGTTCCCATGCAGGGGATCTGCAGGGCAACCGCGTGGTCTTTGAGTCATATGTTCATGGCTCACTACATGCTCGATAAATTCTTCAGGAAAGATGCAGCAGTTGGTAGGGCAGTATGACAGTCAATAATTCTGAATTTCTGCCCCACCTCTATGGGGTAGCGGCTTGGGGAGTCACTTGATTGGAATCAACATGAACAAGTACTCGAAGAAAAGACAGTTACCTGTTCTCGTAACTAGTGTTCTTTGAGATGTGGTGTTCATGTCATTCCAATACCCACCCTTCTTCCCCATTGTCAGAATAACCGGCAAGAAGGAACTGAGGGAGGGTAGGGTTGGCTGCGCTATGTAGGTACTGATATAGTGGCTCCATTTTAGGGGTCTGCACAGATGACCCTATGGGAGCTGCAAGGGGAAAAGTTTGACACTTGCACGTACACCTGATTGGAATGGATGCGAACAACACATTGTGAACACCAGTTACGAGAACAGGTACTGTCTTTTTCCTGCCTTCCCTTCCCATCCCTTTGATTCCTGTGTTCTTTGTACTGTGATCAGAGGAGTTAGGTAAAGATGTCCTGTCTGTACATCTGTTAGAAGGCTATAAAGCAATGAACTATATTTCATCTTTGGAATCTGTTTGTGAAGTTTTCATCTTAAATTGAAGGAGAGCCTAAAAACTGAATGCCACTTCCACTTTCATTTACTGTTGGGAAATCCTTATTCCTGCTTTTAAAGAAAAGGATAAGGTTGCTGAAGCATTAATCAGGATATTTGCCCAAAAGTACGTTCTCTTTGTAATAAAACTTATGGCATGGTATGCAACCATTATGTTCTAATAATATTTTCTAATTATTTATAGCTTTCTTCCCAACAAATTTACTTCAAGAAGTGCATGATGACCGAATGTGGAATTAAATGGGCTTGTGAGTATTGTACATATGAAAATTGGCCATCAGCAATTAAGTGTACTATGTGCCGTGCTCAGAGACCTAATGGAACAATTATTACGGAAGATCCGTTCAAAAGTGGTTCAAGTGAAGTCGGTAGAGATTGGGATCCTACAAGCACTGAAGGAGGAAGTAGCCCTTTGATATGTCCAGATTCTAGTGCGAGACCAAGGGTTAAATCTTCTTACAGTATGGAAAGTGCAAATAAATGGTCGTGCCACATGTGCACATACTTGAACTGGCCAAGGGCGATAAGATGCACTCAGTGCTTGTCGCAGCGAAGGACCAGGAGCCCCACAGAATCTCCTCAGTCTTCAGGGTCTGGTTCAAGATCAGTACCCTTTTCTGTTGATCCTTGTGAAGAGTACAATGATAGAAATAAACTGAATACAAGGGCACAGCACTGGACTTGTTCTGTATGTACATATGAAAACTGGGCTAAGGCCAGGAAATGTGTGGTATGTGATCATCCCAGACCTAACAATATTGAAGCAATAGAACTGGCGGAGACAGAAGAGGCTTCTTCAATCATAAATGAGCAAGACCGAGCTCGATGGAGGGGAAGCTGCAGTAGTGGTAATAGCCAAAGAAGATCTCCTCCTACAACCAAACGTGAATCAGAAGTGAAAATGGACTTCCAAAGAATTGAATTGGCTGGTGCTGTTGGAAGCAAGGAGGAACTTGAAGTTGACTTCAAAAAACTAAAGCAAATAAAAAATAGAATGAAAAAGACTGATTGGCTATTTCTCAATGCTTGTGTGGGTAAGTTGTCTCTCTATTATGTTGGGCTGGTATCTGGAGGGGAATTGAAAGTAAATAAAAAGTAGTACTAGGTGTAAACAAGCTCTCAACATGTACTTTTGTAAGAATACTAAATTTTACTTCACAATTGCACTTACTTACCCACACATCATTCAGTTAATTTATCTGTTTACTTCACAATTGCACTTAAATTAACTGAATGATGTGTGGGTAAGTATCTGCAAACTTGACAGAATTTGGCAAGTTATCTTGGGCCACGTTTTCATTATATGGAGGTTCATCACTGCTGTGGTTGATCTTCTGGGGTCTGATTTAAGAGGGTCTAGTAAAGATCTTCTAAATTGAACTCGGAGGGTACCTCCATTGGTGCTGGTACTCCTGCTCCTTGTGAGGAGTTACGGAAGTCAATGGAAGCATTTTGCTCCCATCGACCTCCCACTGTGGAGACCATGTGGAAACATAATTAACATAGCTGGAGTTGCATATCTTAATTTGACCTTCCCCTGTAATGTGGACCTGGCCTTGGAGATAAGTAGAGCCATTTGGTATGTGATTAGTTGCATGAGCTCTTCTGACTTTATGGGAGCTGATACAGAATATGTTTTATTAAAAATATATTTAAAAATCAGGAACCAATAGTTCACACAATAGTGCACACAATAGTTCTCTACCTGTGTATTCAAGATGTACCAGTAGAATCACCAGATATAACTTGGGAATATTTTGTAAACAGTGTAGCGCTTCTATCAGCACAAGGCACTCAGTCAGTTGTTAAAAATAACACCAGAAATATGTAGCTCCAAGAAGCTGCATGCATAATACTGACCTTGAAAATGTTACATGAACATGAATAGCATGTTGTAAATATTTACAAGCTTTCTGAAAGTGCATTATATACCCAACTGACTTCAGTAATTCAAATATCAATTTTGTTTTTTTATTTTAGTGGTTTTCTAAGGAAATTCTGGAGTGTTCCCAATTCTGTTAAAGAACAGACACATGAAAGCAGGGTTTTCTCCATTTTGTTGATCTTGTGAGTTTTTAATTTTTGTGGTGATACTTCCCAGAAGCATAAATTTTTAGGCTTACGCATATGAGCATATTAAATACTTGACATCTACAAAGATTTTTGGGCTAGGACACTGCTTTTGGAACTCCAGTATACCATTTGTTGATCTCTCAGAAAGCGATTTTAGTGCACTTGGCTACCATTGTTCAACTGATTTGTGAAACAGAATTATGTAATCTATTTGGCTGCAAGTAAATGTTCCTATTGTGTATATGGACTTGTATTTCAGTGAGCTAATAGATAAGGGCTCTCCTTTTGATGGGTAAAGAGTTCCATACATAGACTTCAAGCTTTTATGTCCTCCTTTTGAAAGGAGGAAGATTCCTCTGTCATTCTTTAAAATTTTGGTGGCCATTAAAATGTTTAGGACCCCCCCCCCCCCCCCCCCCCACCACCGCCACCCCCCCCCCCCCCCCCCCCCAATAATTTCTCATTTTCACCATCCCTTTTCCTTCCTTGAATGGAATATGTAAAACATCACATATGAGGGGCATGCAAGAAAAGAGTTATTGTTAGAGGTTCTGTGTCCTGTGATGTCTAACATTTTAATGCAATTTTATTAGATGTCACTTCAGTGAAATGGGATATTTCTTTCCTTCATGATGTCTGAAAGAGTAAAAAAATTCTTGAAACTATCCTGCAGTATTTGCATATTCCTTATTTCTGAAATTTGAAATATTAAATATTTGAAAAATTCACATTCCAGAATAGCCAAAACTGATTTGTCTATTTTCAGTTCTGCACTAGCTGTAGGACATCGTGTACATTATTTCCTTATACAAATTAGCTTCCAGTTTCTTATTTTGTGAACTACCAAAATATGAATGCATTTTGAAGGTGCCTTGTTTTAATAAGATCTTTAGCAAGGGTCAGAGTGACCAAAACAACGTATTCTAATAGACACATTAAGTAAACATGAAGCTTTAAAAGCTTCTGGGGGAATCTAGAATGCCAATTGTGAGTAGCATGTGCTGAACTTTGCAGGTTTCATGATGAAGATTTCATGGATTTTTTTCCTGTGATGATACTTGTTAAAAGGTAATATCTTCATATGAAGGCCAATAGTTACCTGTAAGTTTGTAATTTAAAAGTTGCATTTTATGTATTTTGGATTTAATCATATTATGTAGAACATATGAAAAACATTAATATAAAGCTCCTTTCTTTCAGAGAGAACCACTATTTAAAGACACAGAATAATTACTGATTTAAAATATCTCATTTCTGAACTCAGCTGCAAGAGCAGCAGTTTTAACTTCTCAGCACTGATATGAAGATATCTGAACAAATTTAATTATGGGCTTGTATAGATATTAGGAAAGTTGCACGCATTTTAAATTAAAATCTATCTAGTTAAACTGGTGCAACCCCTTAATGTAATTGCACTTAAGTTAAACTGGTTTATCAGTGCAAACTAAGGATGTGAACATGGACCTGAGTACACCGTTAACCAATCAGCCTGGGCTCATTGGATAACCCTCACGGTTACACACAGCACACACTCCCTCTGATACAGAGGCAGCAGTGTGGAGAGTAGGTGGGAGCTTGTACACGTGGGGAGTTGGTTTAAAAGCTGGCTCCCCACGAGTGCTGGCTCCTGCCTCCCCCTGTGTGTAAATGTGCAGCTGCTGAAAGGGCGGTTACACATTTACACAAACACCTTAACATCTTGAATGCAAACTATTCCACTTAACAAATGAAGCTAAACTAATTTCAGAGAAATTGTTTTAAGTCCAGCTGTTAGATGTTTGTACCAGTTTACCTAGTTCAATGTATTTAAACTAGTGCAACTGTTCTGACTTTGATCATGTTTTAACCGATATAGGGAAACGAAATAATTTTCCAACAAAATTTAAATGTACAACAGGAGAACCCCATTTCTCCTTTTGCTAGTCATGTTTAATAGCCTGTGTACTAACAGCACTGTCTGAGGGTCTCAAAGGGTGTGAAAATGGTAAGTAATGACAGATTTCATAGATGATGAAATGTAAGGTGCATAGATTGTGGTAGCTGAGAACAGAAAGCTGTACTCCCAACATCATTGTTTTGCTCTAACTCTCCGATCGTGTTGCCTCTCCAGTGTTCAGAATTACATTTGACACAGGGTATGTCTACACTACAGCACTAATTCAAACTAACTTAGTTCGAATTAATTCGAACTAAGTTAGTTTGAATTAGTGCTGTAGTGTAGACATACCCTGTGTCAAATGTAATTCTGAACACTGGAGAGGCAACACGATCGGAGAGTTAGAGCAAAACAATGATGTTGGGAGTACAGCTTTCTGTTCTCAGCTACCACAATCTATGCACCTTACATTTCATCATCTATGAAATCTGTCATTACTTACCATTTTCACACCCTTTGAGACCCTCAGACAGTGCTGTTAGTACACAGGCTATTAAACATGACTAGCAAAAGGAGAAATGGGGTTCTCCTGTTGTACATTTAAATTTTGTTGGAAAATTATTTCGTTTCCCTATATCGGTTAAAACATGATCAAAGTCAGAACAGTTGCACTAGTTTAAATACATTGAACTAGGTAAACTGGTACAAACATCTAACAGCTGGACTTAAAACAATTTCTCTGAAATTAGTTTAGCTTCATTTGTTAAGTGGAATAGTTTGCATTCAAGATGTTAAGGTGTTTGTGTAAATGTGTAACCGCCCTTTCAGCAGCTGCACATTTACACACAGGGGGAGGCAGGAGCCAGCACTCGTGGGGAGCCAGCTTTTAAACCAACTCCCCACGTGTACAAGCTCCCACCTACTCTCCACACTGCTGCCTCTGTATCAGAGGGAGTGTGTGCTGTGTGTAACCGTGAGGGTTATCCAATGAGCCCAGGCTGATTGGTTAACGGTGTACTCAGGTCCATGTTCACATCCTTAGTTTGCACTGATAAACCAGTTTAACTTAAGTGCAATTACATTAAGGGGTTGCACCAGTTTAACTAGATAGATTTTAATTTAAAATGCGTGCAACTTTCCTAATATCTATACAAGCCCATAATTAAATTTGTTCAGATATCTTCATATCAGTGCTGAGAAGTTAAAACTGCTGCTCTTGCAGCTGAGTTCAGAAATGAGATATTTTAAATCAGTAATTATTCTGTGTCTTTAAATAGTGGTTCTCTCTGAAAGAAAGGAGCTTTATATTAATGTTTTTCATATGTTCTACATAATATGATTAAATCCAAAATACATAAAATGCAACTTTTAAATTACAAACTTACAGGTAACTATTGGCCTTCATATGAAGATATTACCTTTTAACAAGTATCATCACAGGAAAAAATCCATGAAATCTTCATCATGAAACCTGCAAAGTTCAGCACATGCTACTCACAATTGGCATTCTAGATTCCCCCAGAAGCTTTTAAAGCTTCATGTTTACTTAATGTGTCTATTAGAATACGTTGTTTTGGTCACTCTGACCCTTGCTAAAGATCTTATTAAAACAAGGCACCTTCAAAATGCATTCATATTTTGGTAGTTCACAAAATAAGAAACTGGAAGCTAATTTGTATAAGGAAATAATGTACACGATGTCCTACAGCTAGTGCAGAACTGAAAATAGACAAATCAGTTTTGGCTATTCTGGAATGTGAATTTTTCAAATATTTAATATTTCAAATTTCAGAAATAAGGAATATGCAAATACTGCAGGATAGTTTCAAGAATTTTTTTACTCTTTCAGACATCATGAAGGAAAGAAATATCCCATTTCACTGAAGTGACATCTAATAAAATTGCATTAAAATGTTAGACATCACAGGACACAGAACCTCTAACAATAACTCTTTTCTTGCATGCCCCTCATATGTGATGTTTTACATATTCCATTCAAGGAAGGAAAAGGGATGGTGAAAATGAGAAATTATTGGGGGGGGGGGGGGGGGGGGCATCTCAGCATGGAGAATATGTTCTGTTTGT